AAAACAAAATAAATGCGAACGGAAAGAATATTGGAAGTAAGGTGTGATTCAAACTTCTGCAAAAGAAGCAACAAAAAGGGTATGTGAACAGATAAGTTACGAAGACAGAAAAAATTTATTTCACCATTTTTGGTCCGACCTAACATGGGACCAGAGAAAAATTGTTGTATCTACTAACGTCCGTAAAACAAGTACAAAACTAAATACTACAGAAAATACGTCTAGACGCAGTAATACTTTCTAATTTTCACTACCAGGGAATGATGAGCATGGGAACACACTTCGACAACCTGTATATCGAACGGTTCATTTACGGTTTAATCATGGGTTAAAAAGGTCGGTACTGTATGCATCCATCACAAAACAATGCCAACTTAAATAGAACAAAAACTAGTAAGGTTAATGTTAAGATGCAGGCTAGATATCTCGATAACTTTTTGGATGCATTACCTAAAATGCCATCCCACTACAATCGAAAAAATACTAATAAACTTTTCCTAGAACCACTTTACAAATCACAAGCCAATCTATATAATATATATATATATATATATATATATATATATATATAATATATATATATATATATATATATATATATATATATATATATATATATAAAGAATACTGTTCATCAAAAAATACCTCTGCATTCTCGAAGAAAAAGTTTAATGAAGTATTTTATGGCAAGAATTTGTCCATTCATCAGTTAAAAAAGGACATATGTGACACCTGTGTAGCACACTCCGTTGGTAATTTAAGTGAAGAACTTTACGAGCAATACATAAAAAATAATCACAAAGCTGGAAATAAAAAAATGTGTGACAAAGTAAGGGCAGTAAGAAATGAATGCATTTTATTGACCGCTGATGTACAAGCAGTTAAAGTTAGTCACTGTATAACTGCCAGTGCGATCTATTTTAAAACCAAATTGGCATGCCATAATTTTACACTATACGACACGACTAATCACGCCACCTGCTACTGGTTTGCCGAAATCGACAGTGATGTTACAGCTTCCACTTTTGCCTCATTATTAATAGATTACCTGGAGAGACACTGTTTACCTAAGCGCTTACCAATTATTCTTGTTACAGACGGGTGCACAAGCCAAAATTGGAATGCAATTCTTGCCAATGCACTGTAAAATTTTTGTATGTATCATGGCGTTATTATGACTCAAAAGTACCTCGAGGTTGGACATATGCAAATGGAAGGGGACGCGGTGCACAGTGCTATAGAACGTAAGTTGAAAAACAGAAATATTCATTTACCTAGCGATTACTTGGCAGCGACAAAAGATCCTAGAACCCGTCCCTTTCCATATAAAGGTCTGATGATTCCACACAATTTTTTCAAAAATTACGCAGATGAGTCAATCTGGAGATACACAACTATACGACCTGGGCGTAAGGTTGGTGACCCGAGCGTAATGGACATTAAACCAATTATGTACAAACCTACTGGGAATATCCAAGTTAAACTCAACTTTGATGATGATTGGATAGACATACCATTAAGACCACGGGAAATACCAGTCATTACTGGGGGTGTAATGATAGATCGCTTCCACATGGTGCACCCTGGGTAACGCTAAATGGTCTATCAATTTTTGGACGCCAAACTAGCCGCTGAGCTCTCCTGGCAACCAGTACGATAAAGAAAAATAAGAACAGGAATCTCCATATAGAAATATGGAAAACTACAAAGGTGTTTATCAACACCATTTGACGAGACGTATCGGGCCTATCCTCCGTATATGTCAAATAAACATAGAAGGAATTAGTAGATCAAAATCCGAATTTCTTTCAAAACTACTAATCGAAAATAACGTTGACGTCATAACCATTCAAGAAACTCACGCACCATCGGAAACCGAGCTTCTTAAGAGGGGTAAAATTCTGGGATATAGCATGATTGGAGCCACTTACAGCAATGTTTATGGCACTACAACTTACGTGCATAACAGTATACAAAATGCTAAGATGACGGACTGCAGCTGCGAAAATAATGTGTCCATAGTCTCTACAGAAGTGAATGGCGTAATCATAAAAAATATCTACAAACCACCATTAACTAAATGGCCAGTAGATGTAATAAAAGCCGTTGACAACCAACCTGCAGTTTACATTGGGGACTTTAACAGTCACCACAACAAATGGGGATATGAAAACAATGATGAAAATGGGGAGAAACTACTGGAGTGGGCTGAAGAAAATAATATTCACCTTATCCATAGTCTAAAAGATAAAACTACCTTCTTTTCTAGAAGATGGCGCAAAGGCTACAACCCTGATCTATGCTGGGTTTCCACTAACTTACAGATGCAACCACTCCCAAGCTCTCGAACTATACTTCCCAGTTTCTCTCACAGCCAACATCGACCTGTCATAATCGAACTAGGCATACAAATTCCTATCGCTGAATCCACGCCGAGACCCCGTTGGAATTTTAACAAAGGAAATTGGCCCGAATTCACCAAAGAGCTGGACACCTGCATTCGCTTCATTGACCCAAAGGCCAACAACTATCACCGTTTTGTAGGAATGGTTATCTCTATCGCCAAAAAACATACAACTGTGCTACCCCCAGAATTCAAAAGAACAAAAATTATCGCAATCCAGAAGCCTGGCAAAGACAACAAGCTGCCTGAAAGTTACCGGCCTATTGCCTTACTCAGTTGCTGTTATAAATTACTAGAACGACTTTTATATAACCAAATATGTAACACCATTGAGGATGCTGTACCAATTGAACAAGCTGGATTTAGAAGAGGACGAAGTTGCTGTGACCAAGTGCTGTCCTTAACTACATTTATTGAAGCTGGCTTTGAAAGACGTGAAAAATCTGCCATAAACATTTATAGATCTCACGGCTGCCTATGACACGGTGTGGAGAGAGGGCCTTATTTATAAGCTGATGAAAATCATACCTTGCCTCAAAACTTGTCGGCTGATAAACAATATACTGACTAACAGACTGTTTCAGGTATATACGAATGATGCACAGAGTAACGTTAGAAAACTTAACAACGGCTTACCTCAAGGCTCAGTGCTAGCTCCTTTATTATTTAACCTTTATACAGCAGATATACCTGAAACAAAATCGAGAAAATTTGCTTATGCTGACGACCTGGCCGTTGGCTTCCAAGATAATAGTAAAGAAGCAGAAGAACGAGCTCTAAACGAGGACTTATCTACACTAAGTAACTATTTTAAGAACTGGCGCTTACGTCCTAACACAAGCAAAACTGAAACCTGTCTCTTTCACCTTTCGAATCAACTTGCGGGCGATACTCTCAATGTAACTCTAAATGACACAGCTATCAAACATAACAACAACCCCAAATATCTAGGCGTCACACTTGATAGAACACTCACCTTCAAAAGTCATCTTACAAACGCAGCCGGTAAACTAAGAACACGAAATAACTTAATATCAAAACTTGCTGGAACAACTTGGGGTGCTTCTGCAGATACTCTTCGGACCTCTGCTCTAGCTTTGGTTTTTTCAGTGGCAGAATATTGTGCACCAGTATGGCTAAATAGTCCACATACAAGCAAAATCGATGTCCAACTTAACCAAACCATGAGAATAATCACTGGAACAATAAAATCAACGCCAGTGAGATGGCTGCCTACTCTGAGCAATATTACTCCACCAGATCTACGCCGTACAGCAGCATTAGTGAGAGAGTACCAGAAAATTATAGCCAACGTACAATTACCAATACATCAAGATATCCCAGACATCTCAAAAGAACACCAACGATTGAGATCTAGAAATCCTCCAATACGATCTGCCCGAAAAATTGGTAATTCCTATGATATACATAGGCAATGGACAACAAGACGGATGCCAACAGTAGAATCGGACTATATTAAGATATCCACCCCAACTCAGGGTTTCATCGGATCAAATCTGCCCCGGTCCATTTGGGCAAGGCTTAATCGTATACGTACCGGACATGGTAAATGTGCTGATTCGCTGTTCAGGTGGGGTCGTGCAGAAAGTCCACAGTGCGATTGCGGAGAATCTAGACAGACCATAAGCCATTGTGTTTCAGACTGCTTGAATCGTGCCTACCGTGGAAACCTCCAGGACTTTGCGGAATGTTCCCCAGAAGCAATTGAATGGCTATGTAAATTGGACATTAATATTTAGTGTCATTCATTCTATTCATTCTATTTTTACTATTTTTAGTGTTTGAATAATATATATATATATATATATATATATATATATATATATATATATATATATATATATATATAATATATGTGTATATTATTGTAATTGTATTTGTATATTTATCGTACTGTGAAAGTCCATACGCTAAATAATAAAAAAAAAACTAGTCATTACGGAATACAAACCTATGCACAACACACCAACACCTATAACGGCCACCAAATTTAAACACCTACAGGAACTTAAAACGGTCTGGCTTCCACGATTCCTTGCCACATAAATAAGTAGACTTAAAACTTTTATTTTCGTTAGAATTAAAACTTTAGTTGTGAATATGCATTTTTAATAAAAGGCCATTTACTACCAACTTCCTTTCAGTTTCAATTTTATATTACCAATTTCTCCTAAGTCAAATATGTAAACTTATATTACAAACACATAGTAACTGTATAAAAATATAAAAAAAGCTATAGTATTTTATCTTATAGAAGCAGGGTTGTGTAATATAAAAAATAAAAAAAATAATTAGTTTTTTCTCCCCCCTGCACAATTTCTATTTATGTAGATAGGAGGTATTGGCGGTAAGCGGTCGATATCATAAAGTATAATATAATATATCTAGTAATATGTATTTCTAAAACATATACCACAATATAAAAAAATATACATTCAATTAAATTTTTAAAAAATAAAAATTTCGCTATTATTTTTTTTATTTTCGTCACTATTTTATTTTATTTACATGTTTTGTCTAAGCGTGACGAACAAAGTTAAACGAACCGAGGAAAATACGAACAGAGTTCACTTACCGAAATGCTGTCAAATATTTTATGGTGATAGGGAACGCAGAAGGGCGGTTTGGCGGACGATGACTTTATTTTTTCGCAGATATATCTAAAAAATAAATTTGACTTTAGTATAAAAGGAAAGAAAAGTGCTTTTTTATTTGAAGGTTATGGCTGGCAACACCATCTGACCCTTTCTGTGCATATAGTTATAAAATATACATAAAAGGTGATATACATGAAAATTCTATAAACCTTTTGCTTCGTTTTATTCGTACAAGTTCATAAATTTTAGTATTTTTTTTTCTTTTTTTGTTATTCAATCACTTTTATTGGTTTATTCACTCAATTAATTAATTATATTTACGAACCCTCCCAATTACATCTAGTCATATTTATACATTTGGATAATTAATTTAACTTTAATAATTAATTTGTATATACAGAGTTGTATATACCTGTTTGTCCAAGATGATGTTTCCGTCAAAATCAGTTATATCTATTTTCTGCCTTCATCTTAGTCCCCCTGTGATTTCATTAACTTTCCTATGTACATTGTAACTATCGTCCTTTGACTGCAGAGTCTCAATTTCTTCCCTTGTTTCTCTTGCTTTTATTTTCTTTCGCCTCTCTGATTTTCGTTCTTCCGTCAGCATCAGTTATATCTATTTTCTGCCTTCGTCTTAGTCCCCCTGTAAGTTCTTTAACTGTCCTATGTACAGTTGCGGTCACGGAATAGTTTACAGGTTCACGTATCTAGGAGCCCATTTTTTAAATTTTTACTTCGTTTAAACGCACCTTTTACGTCAAAGTGACGTTGCCAGTGGTGTACTAGCTAGAATAGGTAGATTAAAATTAAAATATCAAAATATTTTACAAAATGAAAAATATAGAAAACAGTTTTTTGAATAAAATGGATTATGATCTTAATAACGAAAATAAAGAAGTCTTTTTTTTAATATGCATTTTATTTTAAATCTATTTTATATTAAATAACGATAAACAATGATAAATAATAATTAATATTTGGTGGAAGCCCCATTCTTGTCAATACAATTTTGCAGTCTTCTGTTCATAGATATCAACTGTTGCAACTAATTATGCAAGGAAAGATTGAAGGTAGGCGCAGCATAGGTAGGAGAAGAATGTCATGGTTGAGAAACCTCAGGGAGTGGTTTGCTTGCACTTCCATACAATTGTTCCGAGCGGCAGCCTCCAGGGTCAAAATTGCCATGATGATAGCCAACCTTCGTAGCGGAGATGGCACGTGAAGAAGAAGAAGAAGTTCATAGATAGCACCAATCCCCTCATGTTATAGTTAACAAGCTCTTCCCATGCCTGCTCAATTGCTTCCCATAATTCAATTCTATTCCGTGGTCTAAGGTTTCTTTCATTTAGTTTCTTTGTTAACTCTGCCCACACATTTTCGACGGGGTTAAAGTCTGCACTACGGGAAGGCCACGGAAGAACATTAACATCAGTTTCTTCTAGCCATTCTCGAACAATTCTACTCGTATGCACCGGGCAATTGTCATGTTGGAAGATAAAGTCGTTGTTGGGGAATCTCTGGATCACCGATGGCAACATTGTGTGCTCAATAATATGTTTGTAATATAATCCTGTTAACTTCTCCTCTACATGATAACAAACGCCCGGGCCTTCGGCACTTATCCATCCCCATACGTTGACAGAGAATCCTCCACTATTTCTCAAATGATGCGTATACTGTTCATCATACCTATGATTTCTCGGCCTATAAACTCTTATTCGACCATTATTATACGACTGAAATACTTTTTCATCGGAAAATACAACCCTAGACCAAAAATTCTCATCGCGGTTTATAAATTCATTACAAAATTCAACTCGTCTCCTCTTGTGATCCTCAGTCAAAAAAGGTTTCCGTGCAGCTACACAATTTAGCAGTCCACTTGCTTTAATTCTTCGACGTGCAGTGCGAATACTGCCTGGAAACGCTGCCTCTTCTCTTGCCTTTTGAGCTGTGGCAAAAGGAGATTCTCTCAAATAATCTACTAACATCTCATCCTGTTGATCTGTGGAAATCTTCTGCCCTCCTGAACCGCCCAACCGTGCTATAGAGTAAAAATTATCCCATCTTTGTTTAATCTTCCATATGCACATATGACTCACGTTCAAATCAGCAGCAACTTGCCTTAGTGACCAACCTTCTTCGAGTTTGGCAATTGCTCTTGCTTTTTGCGCATAATTCAAATGTATTCTAACCATTTTGGAAGAGTTTAATATACTTTTATTTTATTGTTGAACACTCGCGAAATCATTGACGTTTTGAAATTTTTTGACTTTGACATTTATCAAATCCGTACGACACTGCAATTTTACAGTATTACAATATAAAAAGTAAGGTGTAAACTATTCCGTGACCGCAACTGTACATTGTGACTATCATACTTTGACTGCAGAGTCTTAATTTCTTCGCATCTTCCCTTGCTTCTTTTTATTTCGCTTCTCTGATTTTCGTTCTTATTAATATATTTATGGTTTTATATTTGTCTGGGTCATTTTTGGCTTCTCTTCTCTCGTCCATTAGTTTCAGGATCTCATTTGTGATCCATGATTTTTTCTTCATTAATCTATCTGTCTTTAAGTGTTTATCCTTTACATTTTACACTATTTCTTTAATATATTTGATCGCTTGTTCTTCGTTCGATTCGTCCCTAATTACAATGATTTGCTCGTTTAACGTGGCTTGTTGCTATATTACGTGTAGGTCGTATGATTGCGCTTTCCTTTTCTGCGCTGTTTTGAGTTTGACTCGAAATACTCCCACCAGCGTAACGTGTTCTGTCTCCAAGTCTGCTACAGGATAAGTCTTGACATATGTAAAGCTATTTCGGAATCTTTTATTAACTAAAATGTAGTCTATTTGGTTCCTAATAATTCTCCTGAGTCTATCTTAAGGTGATTTCCACATATACAGCTTTCGAGGTGGTAATAGGAAGAATATGTTAGTGACAACTAGTTCTGAGTCTTCTAAGATTTTTTTTAGGAGATCTTCTCTTTCTTTCTGACTCCAAGTCCATGTGCTTTAATGTACTATGTCTTATATTCAGCTCCAATCTTGACAATAAAATCGTCCATAATAATGAGAGGAATTTTCTGTATCATACTGTTGATGTTCTGATAGAACTCAATTGCTTCTTCCTCCCCTTTGTCTGCAGTGGGAGCATATACTTGGACGATGTTGATATTAATAGGGTGGGCGTGTACTTGTAGTAACATGACTTTCTCTGATATTGGTGTAAAGTTAGTAACGCATTTGGCAACCTTGGGTGAAACGATTATTCCGAGTCCATATTCAAGTGATCCATCACTTTTTTTCGAGTTATATACCTGGTGATCTTCTATTTGTATTTTTCCAGAATCTGGCCATCTCATTTTTGCTATTCCCATGATTTCAATATACATTCTCTCTAATTCCTGTATTGAGGATTTTTCCTGCTTTGTATAACGTTTTGGCAAGGAAATATCTTACACAACGATAATGTATATTCTTTTTAATTTCCATTGGTATAAGTACGGCTTTAAAGAGATTTTTCTGCTCGTAAAGAATTCACTAGATGGTTACAAAATCAGAAAAATCAAAATGATAATTTTTTCAGGTACATTTTGTGTTCGACCAAGTTACCTACATTCACAAAAAATGAAAGTTTAAATGTTCGTAAAAGAAGTAAGTTAAACAAAATTATTATTAAAATACACCTAGTAATAAAATTTATTTTTATTATTTTATATATAATTATTTTCGCTTAACTTCCACAACTTTTAAGATGAGACGCCGCAGAAATATAATAATAAACTTACTTAAAATTTGGATTTCGAGGATGAGATGGCGTCAGCTTCAGGACCGATCTAAATCCCATTACATCGCTGGCGTTGCCCCATCCTTCGTAATGCAGAAAAGGATCCAAGTAGTCTGAAAATAAAAGGACTCGTTATAAAACATCCCTTTAATTGATAATCAGCTTGGTATCCAGTATTCATTTACAAAACACAATTGGGGAGAATTTCGTTTTAACGACGTAATTGAGAATTTAGAATTTATCGAAAGTGTTTCAGTATCGGTAGGTGTCTGTGAAATTGCTAAAGGGTGAGGTGATATAGTGGAGTCTGTCTGGAACTATTGAAAATTTTACGCGAAAAAACTTTTGAAAAAATAAATAATATAGTTACCATGTATTGTGCTGCCATGACACGTCCATCAGATGTGAAACATCTGCGTAATATTTTTTTTTAACAATAATACATATTTATTATATAAACATTTAACCGCTACTGTAACAAATAATTTGAAATAGGACCTTACGGCAAGTGATACCTCGTTTGAAAGGTATTGAAAATACCTATTCAACTATACTAATTTTATTTGATTTTAAGCTCATTTTAATGAATACATTAAATAAATACTAAAATTGTAGTTTCGCATTTAACTAATAAATATTAAAACCTGCGCGTCTAGTCACATGTCAAAAATTAACGTTTCTTAATTCATTAATTGTTTTAACGTCAAAATCTAATTTTTTGAAAATTAACCAGAGGCGAACGTTAACATGCAGAGGAAGTGAAGAGGAGAATATTTATTGCCAATAAACGTTACCATGACTTAATTAGGCAACTAAGATCAGATAACGTCACCAGAAAAACAAAATACCAAATATACAAAACCTTAATAAGACCGGTACTCACATACGGTTCAGAAACCTGGACACTCTCTAAAAGGGAGGAAACGTTATTAGCCACCTTTGAAAGAAAAATCTTGCGACACATATATAAGGGCACAAAAGAAAACGGGATTTGGCGGAGAAGGAATAACGTTGAACTATACAACATATACCAGGATCCGGATATCATAACATTCATTTAAATAGGAAGGCTACGTTGGATTGGACATGTGGAAAGAATGAAAGAAGGCGAAATACCAAACAAAATATTCAAACAGGTGCCAGTAGGAAAAAGAACAGGAGGAAGACCGAAGCTGAGATACGTAGAACAAATAGAAAATGATATAACAACACTAAAAATTAAAAACTGGAAAAAAAGCACGAAACAGGTCAGAATGGAGAAGAATCCTTGAACAGGCCAAGACCAAAAAGGGTTGTCGAGCCAGTGATGATGGTGATGATGAACGTTAAAATATTTATTAATTCAATGCGAAACTACAATTATTTTAATATACCTATTCAATCATATACTCGGTTCGCTATTCCTAGTCCGAACTGTCTAGTGAATTTAGTAATTATTGAAGTTATACTTCTATACGCAAGGTCAGCGTTGGAAATTTGCATGAGAGTGAATCTGTGAAACCATTACATATGTAAGATAATAAGTAAGAGATAGACAGAAGATATATTTTTTCTTTCTTCCTCACTCGAGAATAAAAATGTTCCTTTTGTATATATATAATATATATATATATATATATATATATATATATATATATATATATATATATATACATATATATATTATAAATAATATTATTTATATATATATATATATATATATTATTATTTATGTGATATGTTTTGAATTATTTATTAAACATTTATAAATATTTTAGGCTTTTTTATTTCAAAATAGTCACTGAGTTTGACCGAGAACTGTCAATTTTAGTGTCATGTCTAATTGGCAAATCCTTTACGTATTTGGTTTGTGAGTTCGTGAGCAAGTTTGTTAGTTTGTGAGTTCAAATCCCAATTATGAATTTCCTTGGGTTGTTGGTTTTTTATTTTTATCTTCGTAAAGTAAGTTATGTATATTGGCAGTTTTAAATACTTATGAATATTAAATTCTAATTTATATTGTATTACTATATTGAATTATGTTGCAGTGTATTTATTGTATTGTAATTTTTATATTCATAACAAAATAAAAAATGAATTTTACTGCAGAGTATGTGTAAAATTTTTTTTTTCATTAAACTCCCTTTATACATATATAAAAATAAAAATATATACTTTCATTAAAATATTGATACAATCCTTTATTTACTATATTCCTATTACAGGTCAAATGTTTATATACAGCAATCAATGCACTATATACTTATATAACTAATTATTTTTCTCTTTCTGCTCTCTCTTACCTATAGCATTACATGTTATGAATGTGCAGATTTACTCCCATATAAATTTTTAACGAAATTTTTAGCGAACGCGTGTATAGGAGTATAACTTCTACCGGCAGTCCCACTGGACTGCAACACCCGTTTTTTTTGTGAAGTTAGTTACTTTTTGACAGACTAAAAGTAGCTGGAAATTACTATACAACCAATCACACGTAATCATAGCCAATATTAATAGTAAACAAACTAAATAGTAAATAAAATAGAACTTTGCGAATTATAAAATGCATATAATACATAATAGACATATAATAAATAGTTATGTTAAATTATAACAACTAAAATATATTTTTTAAATATATACTACCCAAAATTTGATGAGTTTAGTATACACTTCCACTATTTACAATAATTCTTCTTTTTTCAAAGAAACAAGTCTGTAATAGTAGTATACAGAGGCCAAAAAAGTGGCCTCTGATGGCGGACATATCCGGAAATGCGAATGCGCCAAATTTAAAATTTTCGTCACTTATTAACAGTAGCTATAAAATAGATTTTAGAATGTGTCTTAGACGAGAAAGCTATTAATACTGAGAAGTAGGAATTGTTCTTTTGTAGGTTTCCGACAATGAATCTGTCAAAATATGCCCGAGCTAAGCGAATGGAGCACAGACCACTGAATGGATTATACTAGTTTTGTTTGTAATGAATACTATAATTCTAGTTTGGCATTTAATTAATAAAAAATCTAACGCCTGCCTTTGGTCATTTGTCAAAAAAAGTTGACGTTTGTCAATTCTCTAGTTGTTTTTAGTAAAAGCGTTTAATATTTAATTTAGTTATTGATTAACGAGACGTTTAAATTTTTACAAAGGCACAATGGTACGTACTGTAGCCGAAAAAGTAGCAGTTGTGTTAATAATGTCTGAATGTGAAAATAATTTCCATGCAGCGGAACGTTTTTTTTAATGAGGGGTACCCCAATCGCTCTACATCGAGAGCTTAGTTGAGGAAGCTTCTTCGGAAGTTTAAACAAACAGGTAGTGTTCAAGATGTCAAACGATCTGTTCGACCCACAATTATTAATCACAAAAAAATTGACATAATTTTAGAAATTTTAGTGAACTCTACTTCTTCTACAGCCCAAGTTGCATCAGTTAAAAGATAGTACACCGAGTGTTGGCTAAAAAACAAATTTAATTCATACAAATTAAAAATTGTGCACCAACTTTCAGATGATGACCGAAGACTAGAATTGTGTGAAAATATGTCCAATAAAATTAACCAACAGCTCGATTACCTAAAAACAATTGGTTTTAGTGACGAAAGTTCTTTTTCTTTTAATAGAGATGTTAATACATACAATGTGAGATATTGGACTGACACAAATCCTCACGTCTTTTATGAAGCACATTAGTTTCCAAAAAAAAAATGTTTGGGCAGATATTTTGGAACTTAACCGATGAAGTGTATATGCAGATGTTATAAAATGCAATTAAACCGTTAACACTTAAAATTCTGGAGGATAATCCAGAGGAATTCGGCAACTTGGAAATAACGTTTCAATAAGATGGTACACCTTTATGGTGCAGTAAGACGTTACCTAGATGAGGAATATCGTGGTAGATATTTATCTTTAAATTTTATCTTTTTTCATTTTGCTTTTGTTTTTTTTTCCAACTACCACCAACCACTAGCATCTAACATTTTATAACTTCCTTACTAATCACCCATTAACATATACCATACCTCAATTTGTTAACCCTCGCATTTTCTTTCTTTCTATTCATCATACCTCTTCCTGTTTCACCATCTTATTCCATGGCAGTTTCTTATTTCTCGTCCTCCTGCCAGTTCTTTTATGACTCACTTCTGCACATATTCTTTTCTCATGTCTCTTACTTCTTGGGGTCACCTTACTTGTCTTTGTACTGCTCTTCACCATTGTTCTTCATCATCAACCTTTAAACTTAAACTTCATGACTCAAATTAAACATGAAATCATTGATCTTTACACATCTATTCGACACTTTCAGTCTGTGTACCCCATTACCACCTATACTACACATTTCACTTAACCGACTCAGATAAGCAGTCAATATAATCCCCTCACGTTAACTCAACATACAGTCTCTATTATTTCATTTTTTTTTCTAATATATATTCACACACACATATCATTTTGTCTGGTTTTAAATTTACATACTTAATTATCAAACTTTGTTTATGCCGTTCACAACAACATAGTATCCAATTTATTTTTGCTGTTGTACATTATTCAACCAACATTTTACATTTTTCTCTTTCCTATATTAATATTTTTATTCTTTCTCAGCTTCATTTGTATTCATTTTAACATACTGCACTATAAGGCAATACTATATTAACACTAACAAAAACTACAATATAATAATAGTTAGAATATCATATTCTGTTATCGTATTATCTCATAAAAGTTTTTAATAGGCTTATTCATTTTACTAATTAAATTTTAAAACTCTCAGATATTTACACACAAAGTCTCTTACCGTTGTTAGGCAACCATCATTACCCAATCAAAAAAATTATTTAACTTCAATTTCATTGGATTTCAACTTATTCTTTTAGTATATACCATGATACTATGAATAACAAGATAGGATCTTCCGTAGCTCAAAATCGGTCGGGTTCGCGCATGCCGTCATTGGAGAGTAGAATTTGAAATCTTGTTAAAGTTAAATGGATTTGTATGCATTCTGTGATGAAATTACTAGACGAAAAAAGATTATTTATTGATATATACAAAAAACTGACATTTCGAACGTGCAACTCTCCAATGACGTCACACAAACATGCGCAATATCTTACATGCGCAAACATTAATAAGATATTAGGTATTATTACAACTAAATAAATTTTATTATTTTTAAAAATTAAAATTGAATTATATTTCCTGTCACCTCAGCCAGTTGGTCTGTGTCGTTTTAACTGACAAGAACCACGAAATTTTGACGACACGTTTTAAAAGTTTTATCTATATGTTTTTTATACCTAAATATAAATGTGAAGTGTTTTAACTTCTGTATGTTTTTTTAAACGATGGTATACAGCCAAATACTGGGTTTTCACATTAATTTTTAAAATGTACACTATTTAATCTACTAATAATATATTTTAGAATAATTTAAAACTTACTTCACGAACGAAAGAAACAGGTAATAAAGTTGTCCCAGCCTCTTTTTCTAATTGAAAATAATTTAATAATTTTAATATTAGTCTTTGTTCATTCTCGGTATATTTCGGCATATTTAAAATATTTTTATGCCAATAAATACAAAATTAAATTTTCACTGTAAAATGTCTGAAAATACTAACCAGGAATGACAATTATCATTTTATCAGTTGACATCGTGAAAGCACTGTCACGATCGAGACCATCTGCGTCAAATTATATTTATGCGCATCATTGACTGGATATTTATTTAGCGTATTCTAAACTCTCACCAATTATACATCCGTTAGTAGAATTTGGTTTAATATGCAAAAACTTAAATACGAATAATAAATAATTTAATAATAAATGAACAATGAATAATTTTTTAAGATTTATGTATAATAATCACAGACTCACGTTTTTTTTTGTGACTTCTAGCTTAATGCGTTAGAGAGAATTCGATCAACTATGACGCACTGAAAGAAGGGTTTAGGGCGGACTATTTTGTATTCTTTTCGCATCTGCTTTACTACTTTAAAATATTGTACCTGTGCAGTTTAAGTAGTTTTAAAAAAGAAAAAAAAAAACAGTATCGACAATGTTTTATTGTCTAGTAGTTTAAAGTTTATATAGTATATTTGAGAGTAATTTATCAGCACTCAGTACTTTGGTCTAACCGCCATTGTTAATGAGACACAGTCAAACCAAATTTCCTACAATTACTTTGCGAAGTTTTACTTTCGTGTAGGGAGAGAGCTTTTGACCTTAGAAACGTTATTCTAGTTACGCTTGAGAACCACAGGCACTTTTAAAACACAAACCATTTGTATTGTTGGGAAAGTGGGCGTAGAATAATTAATACTGGCGTATATTCATTAATAATGCGAAGTGTAAAGCGACACCAATACTACACAAATGATAAAATAGTATAATTAAAATGTTTCCGTAGGCTATTCTACTTTAAGATAGTGGATTCTTGGGCCATTTGTAAAATTTTATGTCCTGTTTATAAATAAATAAAATCAAGCTCGAGATAGTATCTTCGTTGAATTGGTTTTCGTAAGATAGAAACGTTTTATGTAATTGCGCCCTTTTATTTTAGGTTAGGCCAGGAGAAAATATTTTAGGTTATTTGAAAGATTATCATCTGTACTGAGATACTTGTTACGATACAAGTTTTATTATGTTCCTTAGTTGGTATATTAATATGAATAAAATACATTTTTATTATTAAATTATCAAAGGACAATCAGTTTGCATGTGTAATGGAAGTCATAGAAAACTAGCTTTATTGGAAAAATATACGGGAATAGTCGTTAGGCCTCACATCGACGGAGGCAGCAAAAATATAAAATCCCCGACAATGAAAGCGGCAAAACAAGAAATATGAGCACAAATATATAACAAGGCTTGAATTATTGACAACGTTTTCACTGAGCTATATAAATTACTTGACGAACACCTGGTAGAACAAATGCATATTCTTATGAACAAGATTTGGAATGATAAAAAGATCTCGAGTGACTGGAAAACGGGATTATATGCTTAATCTATAAAAAGAGGGTAACTGAAATGAGAAAGTTATCGCGGGAATAACCTCTTGTGCACAGGTACATACTAAACACACGTCAGTAAACTCCAACAATTAACTGAAAATATTAGCTGGGAAACATATCAAACTGGATTTCGATAAGGAAGATCCACAACTGATAAGTTATTCACAATGAAATAAATTCTAAACAAATCGTGGGAATATGACATTGACTTACATAACATATTCCTAGGTCTTAAATGGGTCTACGATATAATTAATAGACAAAAGCTAGATCAATATTGCATCGCTTTAACATCTCCCAAAAACACATTCGACTAGTAAAAGCAATAATGCGCTTAACAGCAACTATCAAAGTACAAAATGAGCAGACTGAGAACTTTTCAATAGTCCAGGGTTGGTACCGACACAAAAGATACCGTAATGCTGTGAAATCTACTAAAACTGATCCTGGAGCTAATATCGGTTCAGACCATAATCCAGTAGTATCTGTGATATAAGCTAGACCAAAGAAAATAAGAAAAACCATCATTCCTGCGTTATATTTAAGCCACCTTAAAAGTGAACACCTACGACAAACAGTTCAAAAAGAAATAAACACCAGCCTCAGTATAGCAGAAAGTCAAATCCGCAGAACAGACGACATAGATGAAAAACTTAAGTATATAAATACTACAATAATAACTATGGGAAAGAAACACTTAACCAGATCTGCAAAGAAACAGAAGGTATGGATAACACTAGACATAGGCACTAGAACTAATGGATGAAAGACGTAAAATGAAGAATAATGCACAAAAATACAGCGAGGCTAATAAGAACATAAAGCAAACAATAAAGAAGGCCAAAGAATTATGGATTGAAGAGCAATGTGTAGAAATGAAAAACTATGAAATAAAATATGACACATTTAATGTACATAAAAAATTAAAAAACATTACATATTACATAAAGTAAAAGAAATTACATAGGAACTCAAAGAAGACATCAAGAAGTTTGTTTAAGAATAAATACGGAAAGATAATTATAGATTTAACAGAGAAAATTAATAGATAGAGTGAATACATAAGAGAATTTTTTGAGGACAACAGAAATAACATTGTTCAGTTAAATTGGGAAACGGGACCTGAAATCCTAAAATGTGAAGAAGTAGCACTTAGAAATTCCAAAACTGGAAAGGCAAATGGATCTGATGAGGTTTCTACTAAATTGCTAAGGCTATTAAATAATGACTTAATAGGTATAATGTTGCACCTAGGTGTTTAACACAATATAAAAAACTGGTATTATACCTCATGACTGGCTGTTGTCTACATTAGTTACACTGCCAAAGAAATTTAATGTAAAAGAGTGTTCAGAATATACATCGAACAAGATCTTTAATAAGCCATCTACTAAAGATATTTCTAAAAGTCATCCACAACCGAGTTTATCAAAAGTTGGATTCAGATATTAGTGATACACAGATGGGGTTCAGAAAAGGACTAGGTACTCGAGAAGCTCTCTTCGGTTTGAATGTTCTTACACAAAGATGCCTAGACGTTAATCAGGAAGTACATCTATGTTTTATCGATTTTGAAAAAGCTTTTGACAGAAAACGCCATTATAAGCTAAGAGACATTTTAGAAAGGACATAGATAATAAAGATCTGAAAGCTAACATCAAAATAGAAAATGAGATATCACAAGCAAGAGAAATACGCAGAGAATCATAATCAATGGAGAGGTTGTAAATAATATTCAATACGCAGACGACACTGTACTAGTTGCAAGAAAAGTAGAAGAATTACAACGATTATTTACAATTATAAATATTGCCTGCAACAATTATGGCATAAATATCAATTTAAAAAAAAAACAAGTATCAAGTTACAAATACTTGGGGACTTAATAAACGAATAAACGAATCTGCAACAGAGATATAAACATACCTATACGATTAATAATGCTAAGAGTCTATGTA